CGCACACTTGCTCCCATTAAAAAAATTTCAATGAACGAACAAATCATTCCTCTATTTCCCCGTTTAACTTTACTTTTTACATAAAAAAAGATAAAACTTTTAAAAGATGATTTTTATGTAAGCAAAGAGAAAAGAAGAAAAAAAGAAAGAAATAAACGATTGCTGGCTGACAACACGCACCGAACCCAACAGTTTCCGCAGGATCTCCTTCCCAGCGCGATGACCACTGCACCACGCCAGAGAATAAACTGATGTAGTTTGTAAAACAACGTTACTTTAAAGTGTTACAGGCATGAACAGGTCATGTCGGTACTGCACTTGAGAACAAGAGAACGGTTTAGCAGGCTGCAAATATATATTTTCCGGGATGTAAGGGTTTTAATACTTCAAATCAGTTAAGCGGGAGGGATTCTTACTTTTGAATATTGGTGTTTACGGTAGTTTTCATTACCCGGGTACCTGATATCTAGTTTCTTGACTAAGGTGCATGTACTGACCACTTCGAATAAAAAGTGTTTATCTTATCTGATCTGATCTGATCTTATGGAGTGGCTTTTGTTTACTCTTTTAAGGCGTCTCTCAGCCGCGGTTCAAGTAACCTTCTGCTCAACAAAAACGAAATCAGTTTCGGCAAAGGAGAAATAAATACTGTGCTATAGGTGAAGGTGACCTAAGGTCAACATACTAGAGGTGATATTGGTGATGACTTTTCTTTATTTGGTGGCTACTAAAGGAGCCGGTAGTTGAATAAGTGGGCGAGTATTACTTGCCACTGACTTTCTTGCTGGCTGATTTTTTAACCGAGGCTTTGCTTTCTTTCGCTTTCTTAGGCAACGGCTTCTTTGTGGCAGTCTTCTTTGGCACTAGAGGTGTCTTCTTCTTGCTGCTGGAAACTTTCTTACCCGGCGATTTCTTGGTTTTCTCGGCTGGTTTGCGGGCGGTCTTTTCTTTCGCGGCGACCTTCTTTATTTTTGGTTTGTTGGCTGGATCGGCGGTTTTGGTCTTCTTCGCCGGGTCTTTGGCTGCCTTTGCTTTCTGTACTTCTTTGTTGACCTTGAAAGAAACTGAAGCTCCGGACCCTTTGGTGTTGATAAATTGACCACTCTCCACGCCTCTCTTAAGAGCCATTTTAATAAAATGACTTGCTTTGTCTCCCCCTTTGAAATGGTTCTTAACGTACTTGTCGAGAGCCTGACGCGAGGAACCATTAAGATCTTTCAGGGAGTGATGGGCTAATATGGCAAGTTTCGCTTCCTTAGTATGTTTGAACTGTTGTTTGGAAGTTTTTTTCTGGCTGCTTTTGTTTTATAAGTCGCGTTGTAGTCTTCACATCTTATGCTAATGTTGGTTAAGGGAGCAACTATTTTCTTATGGTGTTACAGCTTGTTGTAGTGGGATCAGTTACTACGAATCGCGATAGATCTGTTACCTCTAAGACGTTTGCTAAGTCCTTTGAAAATGAGATTGATTGTAAACGTCAACTTAGGAAGACAGGCAGAGAGATTAACTGAACGAAAAAGGAGATGTTGAACGCAATCACTAATTTTTTGGTAAGCTTAGAGATACTAGTACTCTACGGTGTCCTGTGCAGCACTTTTGTTGTGTGTATTATCGCAAAAAACCTGTAACGGCGTAGAGTATGAGAATTATTTCTGTCTCATTTCACTAGTAACTAATAAAGAAATAAGTAGAGACAAGGTAAGAAGTAGTTTATTGGTCATTAACTTTTATTGTCAGGTGGTGGCTCCTAAAGGAGCCGTTTGTAATGTGAGATTGTCAGAACCGAGCTGAGCTGTATGCACGTTCGTCCCGGATCCTACGAGCCAACTGGATATCTTTAGGGATGATGGTGACACGTTTAGCGTGAATGGCGCAAGGGTTAGTGTCCTCGAAAAGACCGACCAGGTAGGTTTCGCTAGCCAATTAAAGAGCCAGCATGGCTGAGCTTAGAAAGCGCAAGTCGGACTTCAAATCCTCAGCGATTTCTCGAACAAGACGCTGAAACGGTAACTTGCGAATCAGCAACTCGGTGGACTTCTGATAACGACGGATCTCTATGAGGGCCAATGTTCCTGGCCTATAACGGTGTGGGTTTTTCACGCCACCGAAGCAGGAGCGCCATTTCGAGCTGCCTTAGTTGCCAGCTGTTTTCGAGGCGCTTTTCCTCCGGTGGACCATCTCGGTGTTTGCTTGGATCGGGCCATGACTGTGAAAGCTATAATTGGAAAGCTTAAGTCTTGAAATAAGCCAAAAATTTGAATTAAGGATTCTGGAAAGCCAAAATCTTGAGATCGGCTAAGATCTTGAATTCAGGATTTTGGCAAGCTAAAATCGTGAAATCAGCGATGATCGTGAATTCATGATTTTACAAAGCTAAAATCTTGAAATCGGTAAAAATCTTGAATTCAGGATTTTGAAAAGCTAAAATGTTGAAATCGGTTAAGGTCTTGAATTCAGGATTTTTGAAACGTAAAATCTTGAAATCAACCGAAATCTTTAATTCAGGATTTTTTAAAGCTAAAATCTTGAAATCAGCCAAACTCTTATATTCAGGATTTTGGAAAGCTAAAATCTTGAAATCGGCCAAAATCTTCAATTCAGGATTTTCGAAAGCTAACATGTAGAAATCCACCAAAACCTTGAATTCAGGATTTTGGAAAGTTTAAATCATGAAATTGACCAAAATCATGAATTCAGCAGTTTGGAAAACAAAAATCTTGAAATCGGCCAAAAACTTGAATTCAGGATTTTGGAAAGTTAAGATCTTGAAATCAGCAAAAATCTTGAATGCAGGATTTTGCAAAGCTAAAATCTTGAAATCGGCTAAGATCTTCAATTCAGGATTTTGGAAAGATAAATTTTGAAAGCAGTCAAAATCTAGAATTTAAGATTTTAGAAAGCTAAAATCTTAAAATCGGCTAAGATCTTGAATTCAGGATTTTAGAAAGCTAACATCTTAAAATCGGCCAAAATCTTGAATTCAGGATATTGGAAAGCTAAAATATTGAAATCCGCCAAAATCTTCTATTCAGGATTTTGGAAAGCTAAACTCTTCAAGGCGGCGAAAATCTTAATTTCACGGTATTAGAGAGCTAAAATCTTGAAATCGGCCAAAATCTTCTATTCAGGATTTTGGAAAGCTAAACTCTTCAAGGCGGCGAAAATCTTAATTTCACGGTATTAGAGAGCTAAAATCTTGAAATCGGCCAAAATCTTGAATTCTCGATTTTGGAAAGCTAATATTTTAAAATCGGACAAAATCTAAAATTCGAGAATTTTGAAAAGCTAAAATCCTGAAATAGGGCAAAATCTGAAATTCCAGGATTTTGGTAAACTAAAATTTTGAAATCGGCCAAAGTCATGAATTCAGGATTTTTGCCCATTTGAGGATTTTAGCTTTCGAAAATCCTGAAATCAAGATGTAGGCTGATTTGAAGAGTTTAGCTTTCCAAAATCCAGAATTCAAGATCTTGGCCTATTTCAAGATTGTAGCTATCCAAAGCCCTGAATTCAATAGTTTAGTCGAGTTCAAGATTTTAGCTTTCCAAAATCCAGAATTCAAGATTTTGGCTGATTAGAAGATTTTAGCTTTCCAAAATCCTGAATTCCAGATTTTGGCCGATTTCAAGATTTTAGCTTTCCAAAATCCTCAATTCAAGATCCTCGCCGACTTCAAAATTTTAGCTATCCAAAATCCAAAATTCAAGATTTTTGCCGATTTCAAGATTTTACCTTTCTAAAATACTCAATTCAACATTCTGGCCGACTTCAAAATTTTAGCTTTCCAAAATCCAGAATTCAAGATTGTGGCCGATTTCAAGATTTGACCTTTCCAAAATCCAGAATTCAGGATTTTAGCCGAGTTCAAGATTCTAGCTTACCAAAATCCTGAACTCAAGATTTTGGCCGAGTTCAAGATTTTAGCTTTCGAAAATCCTGAATTCCAGATTTTGGCCCATTTCAAGATCTTAGCTTTCCAAATCCTGAATTCAAGTTTTTAGCTTTCCAAAATCCTGAATTAAAGATTTTGGCCAATTTCAAGATTTTAACTTCCCCAAATTATGAATTCAATATTTTAAGATTGTAGCTTTCCAAAATCCTAAATTCAACATTGTGGCCGATTTCAAGATTTTAGCTTTCCAAAATCCTGAATTCAAGATTTTGGCCGTTTCCAAGATTTGAACTTTCCATAATCGTGAATTCAAGATTTTGGTCGACTTCAAGATTTTAACTTTCCAAAATCCTGAATTCAAAAATATAGCTTTGCAAAATCCTGAATTCAAGACTTTGACCGATTTTATGATTTTAGCTTTCAAAAATACTGCTTTCAAGAATTTGGCCAATTTCAAGATTTTTGCTTTAAAAAATCCTGAATTCAAGATTTTGGCGGAGTTCAAAATTTTAGCTTTCCAAAATCCTGAATTCAAGATTTCAGCTTTCCAAAATCCTGAATTAAAGATTTTGAGCGAGTTCAAGATCTTAGCTTTCGAAAATACTGAACTCGAGATTTAGGTCCATTTCAAGATTTTAACTTTCTCAAATCATGAATTCAAGATCTTGACCGAGTTCAAGATTTTAGCTCTCCAAAATCCTGAATTCAAGGTTTTGCCCGATTTGAAGATTTTAGCTTTCCAAAATCCTCAATTCAAGATTCTTGCCGACTTTAAGATTTTACCTTTCCAAAATCCAGAATTCAAGATTTTGGCCGCTTTGAAAATTTTAGTTTTCCAAAATCCTGAATTCAAGATTTTAGCCTAGTTCAAGATTCTAGCTTTCCAAAATCCTGAATTCAAGATTTCGGCCGAGTTCAAGATTTTAGCTCGTCAAAATTTAGATTTTAGGATTTTCGCGGAATTCGAGATTTTAGCTTTCTAAAATCCTGAATTCATAATTTGGGCCGAATTTAAGATTTTATGTTTCCAAAATCCTGAATTTAAGAATGTGGCTGATTTGAATATTTTAGCTTTCCAAAATCCTGAATAAAAGATTTCGGCCGATTTCAAGATTTTAGCTTTCCAAAATCCTGAATTCAAGATTTTGGACGATTTCAAGATTTTCGCATTCCAAAAACCTGTATTCAAGATTTTCGCCGATTTCAAGATTTTCGCTTTCGAAAATCCTGAATTCAAGATTTTCGCCGATTTCAAGATTTTAGCTTTCCAAATTCCTGAATTGAAGATTTTGGCCGATTTCAAGATTTTAGCTTTCCAAAATGCTGACATCCAGATTTTGGCCGATTTCAAGATTTTAGCTTTCCAAAATCCTGAATTCAAGATTTTTGCCGATTTCAAGATTTTAACATTGCAAAATCCTGAATTGAAGATTTTAACCGATATCAAGATTTTAGTTTTCCGAAATCCAGAATTCAAGATTTTGCCCATTTCAAGATCCTAGCTTTCCAAAATCCTGAATTCAAGATTTTAGTTTTCCAAAATCCTGAATTCAAGATTTTGCCCGTTTTCAAGATTTTAGCTTTCCAAAATCCTAAATTCCAGATTTTGGCTGATTTCAAGATCTTAGCTTTCCAAAATCCTGAATTCAAGATTTTTGCCGATTTCAAGATTTTAGCTTTCCAAAATCCTGAATTCAAGATTTTGGCCGATTTCAAGAATTTAGCTTTCCAAAATCCTGAATTGAAGATTTCGGCCGATTTCAAGGTTTTACCTTTCCAAAATAGAGAATTCAAGATTTTGCCCACTTCAAGATCTTAGCTTTCCAGCATCCTGAATTCAAGATTTTGGCCTATTTCATAATTTTAGCTTTCCAAAATCCTCAATTCAATATTTTGACCCATTTCAAGATTTTAGCTTTCTAAAATCCTGAATTAGAGATTTTAGCCGATTTCAAGATTTTAGCTTTCCAAAATGCTAAATTCCAGATTCTGGCCCATTTGAAGACTTTAGCTTTCCAAAATCCTGAATTCAATATTTTGGCCGATTTCAAGCTTTTCGCATTCCAAAAACCTGTATTCAAGATTTTCGCCGATTTCAAGATTTTCGCTTTCCAAAATCCTGAATTCTAGATTTTCGCCGATTTCAAGATTGTAGCTTTCCCAAATCCTGAATTCAAGATCCTCGCCGACTTTAAAATTTGAGCTTTCCAAAATCCTGAATTCAAGATTTTTGCCGTTTTCAAGATTTTAGCTTTCCAAAATCCTAAATTCCAGATTTTGGCTGATTTCAAGATTTTAGCTTTCCAAAATCCTGAATTCAAGATTTTGGCCGATTTCAAGATTTTAGCTCTCCAAAATAATCATTTCAAGATTTTGGCCGTTTTTAAGATCTTAGCTTTCCAAAATCCTGAATTCAAGATTTTAGCCGATTTTAAGATTTTAGCATTACAAAATCCTGAATTCCAGGTTTTGGCCGATTTCAAGATTTTAGCTTTCCAAAATCCTGAATTGAAGATTTTGGCCGATTTCAAGATTTTAGCTTTCCAAAATCCTGAATTCAAGATTTTGCCCTTTTTAAGATCCTACCTTTCCAAAAACCTGAATTCAAGATTTTGTGCGATTTTAAAATCTTAGCTTTCCAAAATCCTAAATTCAAAATTTTGGCCGATTTCAAGATTTAAGCTTATCAAAATCCTGAATTCCTTATTATTGCCAATTTCAAGATTTTAGCTTTCCAATATCCTGAATTCAATATTTTGGCCGATTTTAAGATTTAAGCTTTCGAAAATCCTGAATTCAAGATTATGGCCGATTTTAAGATTTTAACATTTTAAATGCTGAATTCAAGATTTCGGCCGATTTCGAGATTTTAGCATTCCAAAATCCTGAATTCAAGATTTTGGCCGATTTCAAGCTTGTAGCTTTCCAAAATCCTGAATTCAAGATTTTGGCCGATATCAACATTTTAGCTTTCCAAAATCCTGAATTCAAGATTTTGGCCGATATCCAGATTTTAGCTTTCCGAAATCCAGCATTCAAGATTTTCCCTATTTCAAGATCCTAGCTTTCCAAAATCCTGAATTCAATATTTTGGCCGATTTCAGGATTGTAGCTTTCCGAAATCCTGAATTCAAGATTTTGGCCGTTTTCAAGATTTTAGCTTTCCAAAATCGTAAATTCCAGATTTTGGCTGATTTCAAGATCTTAGCTTTCCAAAATCCTGAATTCAAGATTTTGGCCGATTTCAAGATTATAGCTTTCCAAAATCCTGAATTCAAGATTTTGGACGATTTCAAGATTTTAGCTTTCAAAAATAATCAAATCAAGATTTTGGCCGTTTTTAAGATCTTAGCTTTCCAAAATCCTGAATTCAAGATTTTGGCCGATTTGAAGAATTTAGCTTTCCAAAATCCTGAATTGAAGATTTTGGTTGATTTCAAGGTTTTACCTTTCCAAAATACAGAATTCAAGATTTATCCCATTTTAAGATCCTAGCTTTCCAGCATCCTGAATTCAAGATTTTGGCCTATTTCATGATTTTCGCTTTCCAAAATCCTGAATTCAATATTTTGGCCCATTTCAAGATTTTAGCTTTCTAAAATCCTTAATTAGAGATTTTAGCCGATTTCAAGATTTTAGCTTTCCAAAATGCTGAATTCCAGATTCTGGCCCATTTGAAGATTTTAGCTTTCCAAAATCCTGAATTCAAGATTTTGGACGATTTCAAGATTTTCGCATTCCAAAAACCTGTATTCAAGATTTTCGCCGATTTCAAGATTTTCGCTTTCGAAAATCCTGAATTCAAGATTTTCGCCGATTTCAAGATTTTCGCTTTCCAAAATCCTGAATTCTAGATTTTCGCCGATTTCAAGATTGTAGCTTTCCCAAATCCTGAATTCAAGATCCTCGCCGACTTTAAAATTTGAGCTTTCCATAATCCTGAATTCAAGATTTTTGCCGTTTTCAAGATTTTAGCTTTCCAAAATCCTAAATTCCAGATTTTGGCTCATTTCAAGATTTTAGCTTTCCAAAATCCTGAATTCAAGATTTTAGCTCTCCAAAATAATCATTTCAAGATTTTGGCCGTTTTTAAGATCTTAGCTTTCCAAAATCCTGAATTCAAGATTTTGGCCGATTTCAAGATTTTAGCATTCCAAATGCTGAATTCCAGGTTTTGGCCGATTTCAAGATTTTAGCTTTCCAAAATCCTGAATTGAAGATTTTCGCCGATTTCAAGATTTTAGCTTTCGAAAAACCTGAATTCAAGATTTTGGCCGATTTCAAGATTTTAGCTTTCCAAAATCCTGAATTCAAGTTTTTGACGATTTCAAGATTTTAACATTCCAAATGCTGAATTCAAGATTTCGGCCGATTTTAAGATTTTATTATTCCAAAATCCTGAATTCAAGATTTTGGCCGATTTCAAGATTTTAGCTTTCCAAAATCCCGAATTCAAGATTTTTGCCGATTTCAAGATGTTAACTTTCCAAAATCCTGAATTCAAGATTTTGGCCGATTTCAAGATTTTAGCTTTCCAAAATCCTGAATTCAAGATTTTGGCCGTTTTCAAGATTTTAGCTTTTCAAAATCCTGAATTCAAGATTTTGCCCAGTTCAAGATCTTAGCTTTCCGAAATCCTGAATTCAAGATTTTGGCCGATTTCAAGATTTTAGCTTTCCAAAATCCTGAATTCAAGATTTTTGCCGATTTCAAGATTTTAACATTCCAAAATCCTGAATGCAGGATTTTAACTGATATCAAGATTTTAGCTTTCCGAAATCCAGAATTCAAGATTTTGCCCATTTCAAGATCCTAGCTTTCCAAAATCCTGAATTCAAGATTTTGGCCGATTTCAAGATTTTAGCTTTCCAAAATACTGAATTCAAGATTTTGGCCGATTTCAAGATTTTAGCATTCCAAAATCCTGAATTTTAAACTTTGGTCGGTTTCAAGATTTTAACTTTCCAAAATCCTGAATTCAAGATTTTGCCCATTTCAAGATCCTAGCTTTCCAAAATCCTGAATTCATGATTTTGTGCGATTTCAAATCTTTACCTTTCCGAAATCCTGATTTCGAGATTTTGGCCCATTTCAAGGTTTTAGCTTTAAAAAATCCTGAATTCCAGAATTTGCCCGATTTCAAGATTTTAGCTTTCCAAAATCCTGAATTCAAGATTTTGGCTGAGTTCAAGATTTTAGCTTTCCAAAATCCTCAATTCAAGATTTGTGCCGATTTCAAGACTTAAGCTTTTCAAAATTCTGAATTCAAGATTTTGGCCAATTGCAAGATTTTAGCTTTCCAAAATCCAGAATTCAAGATTATGCCCATTTCAAGATCATAGCTTTCCAAAATCCGGAATTCAAGATTTTGTGCAATTTCAAAATCTTAGGTTTTCAAAATCCTGACTTCAAGATTTTGGCCGATTTCAAGATTTTAGCTTTCCAAAATACTGAATTCAAGATTTTGGCCGATTTCAAGATTTTAGCTTTCCAAAATCCTGAATTCAAGATTTTGGCCGATTTTAAGATTTTAGCTTTCCAAAATCCTGAATTCAAGATTTTGGCCGACTTCAAGATTTTAACTTTCCAAAATCCTGAATTCAAGATTTTAGCCGATTTCAAGATTTTACTTTTCCAAAATGCTGAATTCGAGACATTGGCCTATTTGAAGACTTTAGCTTTCCACAATCCTCAATTGAAAATTTTGGCGATTTCAAGATTTTAGCTTTCCAAAATCCTGAATTCAAGACTTTGGCCGTTATCAAGATTTTAGCTTCTCAAAATCTTGAATTCAAGATTTTGCCAGTTCAAGATCCTAGCTTTACAAAATACTGAATTCAAGATTTTGTGCGATTTCAAAATCTTAGCTTTCCAAAATGCTGAATTCAGGATTTTGGCCGATTTTAAGATTTCAACTTTCCAAAATCCTGAAATCAAGATTATGGCCGATTTCAAGATTATAGCTTTCCATAATCCTGAATTCAAGATTTTGGTCGATTTCAAGATTTTATCTTTCCAAAATCCTGAATTTAAGATTTTGGCCGATTTCAAAATTTTAGCTTTCCAAAATCCGGAATTCAAGATTTTTGCCGATTTCAAGATTTTAGTTTTCCAAAATCCTGAATTCAAGATTTTTGCCCATTTCAAGATTTTAGCTTTCCAAAATGCTGAATTTCAGATTTTTGGTCATTTAAAGATTTAAGCTTTCAAAACTGGTAAATTCAAGATTTTGGACCATTTCAAGATTTTAGCTTTCCAAAATGGTGAATTCAGGATTTTGGCCGATTTGAAGATTGTGGCTTTCCAAAATTCTCAATTGAAGATTTTTGGGGAGTTCAAGATTTTAGTTTTCCAAAATCCTGAATTCAAGATTTTTGCCCAGTTCAAGATTTTAGCTTTCCAAAATGCTGAATTCAAGATTTTGCCCGATTTGAAGATTTTGGCTTTCCAAAATCCTCAATTGAAGATTTTTGGGGAGTTCAAGATTTTAGCTTTCCAAAATCCTGAATTCAAGATTTTGCCCATTTCAAGATCCTAGCCTTCCAAAATACGGAATTCAAGATTTTGGCCAATTTCGAGAGTTTAGCTTTCCAAAACCCTCAACTGAAGATTTTGGCCGATTTCAAGATTTTAGCTTTCCAAAATCCTGAATTCAAGATTTTGGCCGATTTCAAGATTTTAGCTTTCCAATATCCTGAATTCAAGGTTTTGGCCGAATTTCAAGATTTTAGCTTTCCAAAATCCTGAATTCAAGATTTTGGCCGATTTTAATATTTTAGCTGTTTAAAATCCTGAATTCAAGATTTTGGCCGATTTCAAAATCTTAGCTTTCCAAAATGCTGAATTCAGGATTTTGGCCGATTTTAAGATTTCAGCTTTCCAATATCCTGAAATCAAGATTATGGCCGATTTCAAGATTATAGCTTTCCATAATCCTGAATTCAAGATTTTGGTTGATTTCAAGATTTTAGCTTTCCAAAATCCTGAATTCAAGATTTTGGCCGATTTCAAGATTTTAGCTTTCCAAAATCCGGAATTCAAGATTTTTGCCGATTTCAAGTTTTTAGGTTTCCAAAATCCTAAATTCAAGATTTTGGCCGATTCCAAGATTTTAGCTTTCAAAAATCCTCAATTGAAGATTTTGGCTGATTTTAAGATTTAGCTTTCCAAAATCCTGAATTCAAGATTTTGGCCGATTTCAAGATTTTAGCTTTTTAAAATCGTGAATTCAAGATTTTGGCCGATTTAAAGATTTTAGCTTTCCAATATCCTAAATTCAAGATTTTAACCGAATTCAAGATTTTAGCTTTCAAAAATCCTGAATTCAAGATTTTGGCTGCTTTTAAGTTTTTAGCTTTCCAAAATCTTAAATTCAACATTTTGGCCGAGTTCAAGATTTTAGCTTTCCAAAATCCAGAATTCAAGATTTTGGCCAATTTCAAGGTTTTAGCTTCCCAAAATCCTGAATTTCAGATTTTCGGTCATTTAAAGATTTAAGCTTTCAAAAATGGTAAATTCAAGATTTTGGACCATGTCAAGATTTTAGTTTTCCAAAATCCTGAATTCAAGATTTTAGCTTTCCAAAATGCTGAATTTCAGATTTTTGGTCATTTAAAGATTTAAGCTTTCAAAAATGGTAAATTCAATATTTTGGACCATTTCAAGATTTTAGCTTTCCAAAATGGTGAATTCAGGATTTTGGCCGATTTGAAGATTTTGGCTTTCCAAAATCCTCAATTGAAGATTTTTGGGGAGTTCAACATTTTAGTTTTCCAAAATCCTGAATTCAAGATTTTTGCCCATTTCAAGATTTTAGCTTTCCAAAATGCTGAATTCAAGATTTTGGCCGATTTGAAGATTTTGGCTTTCCAAAATCCTCAATTGAAGATTTTTGGGGAGTTCAAGATTTTAGTTTTCCACAATCCTGAATTCAAGATTTTGGCCGATCTCAAGATCTCAGCTTTTCAAAAACCTGACTTTAAAATTTTGGGCGAGTTCAAGATTTTAGCTTTCCAATAACCTGAATTAAACATTTTGGTCAATTTTAAGATTTTGGCCGATTTCAAGATTTTAGCTTTCCAAAATGCTGAATTCAAGATTTTGGCCG